AGGACGGAATATAAAGCCAAACTCAATACCATTTAGTTCATTAAATATTCATGCAATACGGATGCAATGGGCGCTAGTGTTGCAACTCAAGAGTACGAAATTTCACAATACCAATGTCGATCGATCGGTTGAATTCAAGAGTAAGCCCCCAGAGGGCTGGTCTTTTTTTCGGTCAGAGGTTAAGCATTGCCATACAACGTGGCAATGCTGCCAGCCTCCTGGGTACTTTCCCCACTGACGTCGATGCGGACGAGTTTTTCGATGCCTTATAAATAGTTTGTTTTTCCTATAATTAATTTTAATCTTAAGTTGTATATATTTAATTTAGTACCTAATATTTAGTTTTAATTTTATTTTAGTAACAGTTGTAATTTAAGATTTTTATTGAAATAAACGATTTAGTATTGAAAACTTAACATAACAAAACATCACGCCTTTTATCCCCAGAGGGGTAAGCAGAGGTGCACATTACGGCACTTAATGTCACTGTACAATGCACCTCTGCCTATCCTTTATGCATATGCTTTTCGGAGTCGCGGAGAACCTAACGGCTAACCGGGACTCCGGCTCGACGTGCAGGAGAAGGAACGGGGTGGTTTCTAGTCAGTAAGAGTCTGACACTCCCCCCCGCGTCACCCAGGCGGGAGCAGTCATTCGATGATTTTCCCCCTTAAAATAAAAAAATTAAATGCATATGCTTTCGAACCGTTTGGGGTTGAAACTTTAAGGCCGTGGGGCCCAAGTGCACATCTTCTTTACAAAGATATTGTAAGGAGGATGGTTGACACTTCAGGTGATCGAAGGGCTGGCTACTACCTTGGGCAAAGGTTAAGCATTGCCATTCAACGTGGCAATACTGCCAGTCTTTTGAGCACCCTACCTCACGATAGCGATGAGGAAATTTTTTAATGCCTTTTGGCAACATTTTAATTATTATTACTTTTAAGGTGTAAATATTTTAGGTTTTAATTATTTGTTTTAATAATACTTACATATTAATATTACTTTCAAATAGAAAGGTATAAAGATTGATATTAGATAAATCACTATAAAATATTAGTATAAAATAAATTATAGATAATTTGTCTTTATCTCCCCCCCAGCGTGTGATAGTAGGGTACGAGTGTCTGAAGTCCCCAGAAATTGAGATGATCATAATGAGAGCGCTGGGCCTCCCCTTTGAACATACCCGGATGAGTAGAGACGTCTACATTGACGTGCTGCTTGAAAACGTCGAACCCCGTAAGTTTTTCCATTTAGTTTTAAACCTAAGAAGAAATGACTTCGAAAACCAAAAGGTCAAAACTAAAAAGCAAAAAATAACTATAATTAGTCATACGTACCTACTTATAGTTTACCCACCCACTAATAGGTGAGAAGTCGGTGCCATAAGTTATAAACAAAAGTTATTCTTTAGGTAAACCCGTAACAAATCTTATACTCTTATAACTATTATATAAAGCGGAAGAATTTGTTTTTTTGTTTGTTTGTTTGTTTGAACGCACTAATCTCCGTACCTACAAGTCTGATTTGAATAATTCTTCTTGTGTTGGATAGCGCATTTATCGAGGATGGCTGTAGGCTATAAAACATCACGCTACGACTAATTGTAGCTGAGCAGAGCGTGTGAAACCGCGCGGAAGTAGCTAGTACCTTATATTACCGAAGCTGTGTACAATTTCATGACAGATTATAACCATGACCATTAATCTAAGGTATATTTTGTTATGGACTATCTCTACGTATACATATACCTACACACACATAAAAAAGATAACATACGCCCGAATTGATAACCTCCTTCTTTTTGGGAAGCCGGCTTTGACTGCCAATAGAAAACTGTTGAAGGCAAATCCTCCGCTAACGCCGGTCACCGGTGACTCCCATGGCGTTTAATGTGTAAAAGAAGAAGAAGATAGAAAAATAATTTATTTATTACTAGCGACCCGCCCCGGCTTCGCACGGGTGCAATATGCATGTATTATACATATCAACCTTCCTCAAGAATCACTAATCTATCTATTAAAAAAACCGAATAAAAATCCGTTGCGTAGTTTTAAAGATCTAAGCATACATAGGGACAGACAGAAGCGCCTCCCTACGCTTAACGTGTGACGGGCCCTCATGATTACTTAATTGAATTAAATGCTTTGAATTTGAAACACCGCCTGCGTTGTGTTTCGTTGTGTAAGTGAGGTTGACGGAGGCCAATTACCTCCCTCCCCAATCTCCCCAATCCCTTTATCCCTGATTCTCAGATCCGTTGCCCCCAAAAGACCGACGACTCACTTATATGTTTGCAAATCTGGTGTTGCGGATGTCCGTCCGGCACCGATTGCTTACCATCAGGTGAAGGTGACTTGTCTTTATTATTTTGTGACTACATGGTTGATGCAGCAGTACTACAGCATACCTACAGTTGACCTTGCAGGTTATCGGAGTTCCAGCTTCAAGCAGGAGTAAAAACGTGGCGGTGTTTTGTCAGGAAGAGTCTGACACTCCCTCTCGCCTCACCCAGGCGGGAGAAGTCATTTGATGATTTTCCCCCTTAAAAAATTATGGCACTATAAAGAACCTTATAGATTTAAGTTCAATTTTTTGATGCAAAATCCTTTTATTGTCATTCCGTGTTAAATTTGGACTGTTTGGTCTGCCAACCAATATTGAGCAAGCGTGGTGATTAATGCAATTAATAACCTTTTCCGTCTGAGAGGCTTTTGGTCAGCAGTGGCCATTTATAGGCTGTTTATGTATAAATATCATATTGAAGTATCTGACACTCTCCACATACCCTTTTTTTTCGGGGCGAAATCATGGCGGCAGGGAGTGTCAGACTCTTACTGACTAAAAACCACCCCTTTCCTACTCCTGCACTTCTTACTATACTAGCCGGAGCCCCGGCAACCCGTTAAGTCTTCCGCGGCTCCGTAGCTCTCCACACACCCAAGGCGGGAGGAGTCATTGGATGATTTTCTCCTCTGAAAAGCCATTCCTGATTCTTACTGACTAGAAACAACAAGTTTCGACTCCATCGGTTTCAAAAAACTGGTTTAAGTTGGTTTTAAATTAAATATGCACCTCTGTCTATTGAGAGAGATACACGAAATATACCTAGATAAATAAGTAACAAAGTTCATTAATGCAATCGTTATTTGTTACAAAACGATACTAGCTGCATTGCAATCAACCTTCTATAATAATAATAATGAAGAAATTTAAACAAATACAGTGTACGATAAGATGGCACCTATGTATCAAAGTATATTCATAATATAATATATTTATATCTTTACAAAACATGATAATGCTATCTTTATACAAATAATTTATAATATACGAATATTTTTAAAATCTGTCTGTACGTTCAAATCTCGTATTTCTTTAACTCGTCGAGTACCGTCATTATAGACACAATTATAGAACAATAGGTTGCGGGCACCGGTGTCCTCGTGGTGTTTGACAGTTTAACTCGTTGAGTACCGGTTTTGTAGACACAATTATAGAACAATAGGTTGCGGGCACCGGTGACCGCTTGGTGTTTGACAGTTTAAAGGTTATTTATGATATAAGCCGGTAAACGAGCAGACGGATAACCTGATTGTAAGCAATCGGCGTCGCCCGCCTGGAACACCAGAGGCATTACACGTGTTTTACAGGCCTTTTTGGGATTAGGAGTTCAAGGATTGTTAGGAATACCACTGCTTCACAGGAAACTGACGTGAAGTAACGTTTGCATTGTGTTTCATCATGTGAGGTTACCGGAGGCCCAATTATCCCCCCCTTCCCCAGTCTCTCCAATCCCTGAATCCCTAACGATCCTCAACTCCTAATCCCCAAAAGGCCGGTAACGCACTTGTAATACCTCTGGCGTGTCAGGTGTTATGATTGCGACCATCGGAATCTAACCCGCTGTGACTGTGCAGTCGAGGTGTGAGGCGAGAGGCGTTCATTAGATGCGAATGTGACGCCAACTTTTCACCAATTATGAGTCCCATGTAATGAGGGCTTATGAGGGACGAGTCTACATATCTGAAAACATACTATAACTATGTAGATCCTGCCGGCGACTTCGCCCGCGTCCCTGTTTGATGAAAAGTAATCTATGTGTTATTTCAAATCATAATCTACCTGTTTAGGCCAGGTGATTTATTAAATTAAATTAAAAACCGACCGGACTGTATAAGAAATATATTATAGACGTGGTTATAGTAAACTCGGTACAGCTGTTTCGCTCGTCGTCGCTTGGTGAAGTGCTGTGTTGGGCGCGGTCGCTCGGCTTCCTCAGTCGCCCCGCGCCTCCCCAGCCCGGCTTGTAGCCTGGCCCTGTCCTTGTTCTAGTGTGCGTGAACACTACCACTGTTCCTAATTTCATCACGATCCGTTCAGCCGTTTTGACGTGATTAAGTAATAAACAAACAAACACACACACACACATAACCTTTCGCATTTAGGTATAATATTGGGAGGTTATATGCTCTTACTGAGAATTTTTTCAAACACCGAAAAAATCCACAATAATAGTTTTACCCGATCTACTATAATAAACTATACAACCTTAATCGTAGCTGTTAAAATAGTATTCAGAGTACGGAATATAAAGCCAAACTCAATACGATTTAGTTCATTCCATATCCACGCAATACGGATGCAATGGGCGCTAGTGTTGCAACTCAAGAGAACGAAATTTCACAATACCAATGTCGGTCGATCGGAATTGGATTCAAGAGTAAGCCCCCTAGGTAATCGGAATCCGACACCTTTGCATAGTATCAGTTTCAACCACTCAACAAACGATAGGAATTGAAATTAACTCGTCGAGTACCGGTTTTGTAGACACAATTATAGAACAATAGGTTGCGGTCACCGGTGACCGCTTGGTGTTTGACAGTTTAAACAAACACATTTATAATTTAAAATTTCATCCAACCAAACCCACGAACAAAAGCGAAGCCAAACAAATAAGTAAGCAAGATAAAAAAATACATAATACCCATGATAAAAGCGCAAATAATATTATCAGTACAGTGACAACTTCAGTGCTGACAAGATGTCTGGTCCGGACTTCAAATTATATTCGAACGTTTTTATTGAAACGAACATACAGTGCATAGATTACGACGCTGTTATCCTTATTTTGTATCCGGAAGATCTAAATGTACCCTTACCAAGACACATCGGCAGTTTCATTGAAAAGATCTCCAAAGTCGACAAGCATATACACAAAACAGCCACAGTTTGGAATTGTGATTACGTTTCTGGAGGCAGACTGGTGCTATCTCCAACTGGAAAAATCTCGCCATACCATGATGCTAAGGTAGTCAGAGATGCTGCTTTTAAAGGCATGATAAGGGCTCTCGAAGCTGGAGCTAAGAAACCGCTGCTCGTAGTACAAAATGTCGTTAACTTCCCCGATGGGCAGCTAGTTTGTATACTCGGAGCATTGGAAGCTCTGTACACTCCTTTACAAATCAGAGAAAGAGATACAACGAACAATTTCCTAAGAATCGGCTTCCATTCCGAAGAGAGATTGAGCGAGAGTTTTGAGAAAACCGTCCGCAATGCGCTTGCTTTGGAAAAATCTAGAATTTTAACAAGAGACATCGCCGGGTCTGATCCTGAACGAATGACTCCAGCTAACATTGTCAACTATGTGAAATCTAGTTTTGAAACTGATAGCAATATAACAATAAAAATAATTGATGACCAAGAAACCATTGCAGAAGAATATCCTTTACTAGCTGCGGTTGCTAGAGCATCTTCTCAAATAGAGAGGCATAAGCCAAGAGTTGTTGAACTAGAATACAAGCCGTCAGACGTTGCCAGAGTAACTCAAACCTTAATACTAGTAGGCAAAGGTGTAACTTACGACACCGGCGGCGCAGATTTGAAGATATCTGGAAAAATGGCAGGCATGTGCAGAGACAAAGGCGGTGCCGCAGCTGTAGCAGGCTTCCTAAAAGCCTGTTCTTTGCTAAAACCACCACACCTGAAGGTTAAAGGCGTTCTCTGTTTATGCAGAAACTCCATCGGCGAAGATTCTTACGTTCCAGATGAATTATTGATATCTAAAAGTGGTAAAACCGTTAGAGTGACGAATACTGATGCAGAAGGCAGATTCGCGATGGCAGACGCGTTGTTCAAAATGGGTGTCTTAGCTGAAAACGAACTAAATCCGCATTTATACACGATCGCAACTTTGACTGGACATGCGAGGCTTTGCTACGGTAATTATACAGCGGCGTTAGACAACTACAGCGCCAGAGGAACGAACCATGCAACATCTTTGCAATTTAGCGGTTCCAGAGTCGGTGAAGGTTTTGAAGTATCATTTATACGGCCTGAGGATTTAGCTGTTAACAATGGGAAATGCAAGGGAGATGATTTGATTCAAGTTGATATGGACGCGAAATGTCGTCATCATCAGCTGGCTGGAGGCTTCCTAATAAAAGTTGGTGGGCTAGAAGATAAAAATATTAAGTACACGCACTTGGACATCGCTGGTGCAGCTGGAACTGCTCCTTCTGAACCAACTGCTGTGCCAATTTTAACTTTGTGTCACGTTCATAAAGTTTTAATGTGATTTTTTTATATCATTGTTTACGCTTTTCTTTTTTTTCTTGTTTTAGGGTTTTATTTTGGATTTAAAAGATATGATGTTGTTTAATTTAGTTTATGATCTATGTGTATGCGAAATTGTATCAAAATCAATCGAGTAGTTTTTGAGCTTTTTAAATCAATACATAGTATAAAACAAAGTCGCTTTCGCTGTATGTCCGTATGTATGCTTAGATCTTTAAAACTACGCAACGGATTTTGATGCGGTTTTTTTTAATAGATAGAGTGATTCTTAAGGAAGGTTTGCATGTATAATACATGCATATTGCACCCGTGTGAAGCCGGGGCGGGTCGCTAGTAAGTCAATAAGTGACATTTTTTGTAAGCAATTTTTTGTTAAATTAGATTCTAACGATGTAGCCCAAAGATTTAGCAAGCTGAAATGACAATGGGCCGGTTACATTTGTCGAAGAACCGATGACCGTTGACCAACGTGTTCTAGAGTGGAGACCGCGTCTAGGCAAACGTAGTGTAGGGCGCCCTACAGCTAGGTGGAGTGACGATATACGTAAAGTGGCTGGTAGTGGTTGGATGCGTAGAGCTGAAGACCGAGCTCAGTGGCGTGCCATTGGAGAGGCTTATGTCCAACAGTGGACGAGAATAGGCTGATGATGATGAGATTCTAACTAAGTGTTTTTTAAATTGTTGATTACATGAGTAGAAACAGTCTGTTTTGGCATACGTTGTTATTAAAGTAGATCGAGATAGCTATCATACCTACTTGTAATTAATTAGATTGTAGATATAAAGATAATGATTTTTTATAAACTTTTACTATGCGTAATAAAATTATCATAACATAAATATTTTTTTTTATTTTATTTATCTAGGCTAGGGCAATAAACAGCAGTATATTAAATACAACATTTGATTGATTAAAATAATAGATTAAACAAATAACTACACGCCTCACGCCGAGCCACAGATTACCATAAGTCTACTTATTTAGCAATAACATTATTATTGCCTGTATAAAAAATTGTTCAGGCACGGCAGTTTTTTTAATTTTTTTACATTCTTACTAGATTATGTGTAAAAAAAAAATATCAAAATGTTATTACGCTGATAATCACAAAAATAAAAAATGTTGTAAGTACCTATACATTCTTAATGATTCTTAAATCAATGACATTGACGTTTCAATATAAATATACTATTTTAATATTTAATAAGATTACGTACATACATACCTACTTACTGTATTTATATGTAAAAAGCCTATAAATAAATACATATTTATTTTATTGAGTACTTGTAATAATTACTGTTTCCATCTGAACATTAGCTCATGACGATACCTAAGTACGTGTGTCGCCTGGACAGTCACCGCTACCATCAGTTGACTGGACAATCTCTTTACATGAGCTGCTGTTTACATGTGAACATTAGCTCATGACGATACCTAAGTACGTGTGTCGCCTGGACAGTCACCGCTACCATCAGTTGACTGGACAATCTCTTTACATGAGCTGCTGTTTACATGTGAACATTAGCTCATGACGATACCTAAGTACGTGTGTCGCCTGGACAGTCACCGCTACCATCAGTTGACTGGACAATCTCTTTACATGAGCTGCTGTTTACATGTGAACATTAGCTCATGACGATACCTAAGTACGTGTGTCGCCTGGACAGTCACCGCTACCATCAGTTGACTGGACAATCTCTTTACATGAGCTGCTGTTTACATGTGAACATTAGCTCATGACGATACCTAAGTACGTGTGTCGCCTGGACAGTCACCGCTACCATCAGTTGACTGGACAATCTCTTTACATGAGCTGCTGTTTACATGTGAACATTAGCTCATGACGATACCTAAGTACGTGTGTCGCCTGGACAGTCACCGCTACCATCAGTTGACTGGACAATCTCTTTACATGAGCTGCTGTTTACATGTGAACATTAGCTCATGACGATACCTAAGTACGTGTGTCGCCTGGACAGTCACCGCTACCATCGGTTGACTGGACAATCTCTTTACATGAGCTGCTGTTTACATGTGAACATTAGCTCATGACGATACCTAAGTACGTGTGTCGCCTGGACAGTCACCGCTACCATCAGTTGACTGGACAATCTCTTTACATGAGCTGCTGTTTACATGTGAACATTAGCTCATGACGATACCTAAGTACGTGTGTCGCCTGGACAGTCACCGCTACCATCAGTTGACTGGACAATCTCTTTACATGGGCTGTTAACATAAAATCGTTGCTAAGGGATTAATAATGAATAAGGGGTCAATGCCTATGATAATATTTTTTATCTTTAATTGATATTTAATCTCCGGCTATAGATAATAATGCAGAGGTAGTGTTATCTATATCAAGACATACAAAATACAATATGTATGTAAATTACAAAATTTTACCGCTGCCGCTGTGATCAATGTCATTATTCAATGGTCACTCAACCCAGTCCTTGATAATTAACTCGTCGAGTGATAATTAACCGTCATTATAGACACAATTATAGAACAACAGGTTGCGGTCACTGGTGACCGCTTGGTGTTTGACAGTTCAGGCTCTTTCCAGAAATACATTTCCTGAAGGGTATAACCTGGGTATCTTTAAGGCCCGAGGGAATTTTTTTTTTTTTTTTTAAGGGGGGAAAATCATCGAATGACTGCTCCAGCCTGGGTGAGGCGGGAGGGAGTGTCAGACTCTTACTGACTAAAAACCACCCCGTTCCTTCTCCTGCACGTCGAGCCGGAGCCCCGGTTACCCGTTAGGTTCTCCGCGACTCCGAATCGGCATCGGCCCTATTGGGCCCCATCTGTGGTGGTCTGATGGCTCTTTGAGGCGCGCGCGGAACGCGACGCGCCGTACGCTCGGGTCTGTTTCTGGTCGGACGGGGAGCCACCCATGCTCGCCGTCCGCAGGCCCGCGCTTACGGTGGCCGGAGATCGTCCCGCGATCCCCGACGCCCGGTGTGTCCTTCGCGATGGCTGGGTTGCGAGGAGGCAGCGCTTCGCTGCCTCACGCGTCCCGCCTCCTCCTTAGCTAGCATGACTGCTTCGCAAAAGGAGGAGACGGCATCCCAATCCCCCTCGCTCCGCATCATGGCCTGCACTAGGCCCGGACGCGAGAGGTCGCCATCGCCGATCACTTCCCTGAGGACACGGCGGTGCTCAGCCCACGAAGGGCATTCTCCCACCGTGTGTTCCACCGTGTCCTCAGGGCGGTCCTCGCAGTGATGACACCCGGGCGTTTCCTCCCGCCCCATCAGACACAGGTACCTCCCGAAACTTCCATGTCCGGTGAGGACCTGCGTCAGGCGGTAGGTGAGGACGCCGTAGCGTCTCTCAAGCCACTCCTCAAAGAGGGGACTTACCGCTGCGATGGCAGCGAGCCCAGCCCTCGGTTGCGACAGTCGTTGCTGCCATTCCGCCATGAGA